AAGGTCAAATATGGCACACCATACTGATCAAACCCTCTTTTAACGGATTATACCTCCCAACATACGTTTGCAACGGGACATTCACAGTCCAGCGTTGCTAATAGATCCATGGCATTGTGGAATCGACTTTTCAGCACATTTCGGTAATACAATAACCGCTGTACCGGACAAAGTATTAATGCGAAGAAATTTCACGATATGAATAATATGAATGCGAATATGAATAAGGCGTTTATTCGCGCGAATAAAAAATTCATATATTCATATTCGCAGAGTGCGAATATGAATATGCCGTATATTCGCATTCCTTTATTCCTTTCGGAGCCCTAAGCTAATCCGTAATCGAAAATCCGTATGTTACGGCAACCTCTCCGCATGAGGCACCTCTATGTGGTGCTGGGGATTAGTATTCTTGCAGAGAATCACTTTGCAAGAAGAAGCTAAGACCTGCCCGCAAAGAGTGGATAGAAAACAGTCATGTTGGGGGGTGGGGGGGGGGGAAGAGCGGCGGTTGCTGCAAGTGAAAACTCTTCATCAGGAGACTTCAGCACAGATACAGCCTCGAATAGAAGAAACCGTCTTGCTTCACTCAGCTGGGCTTCTTCAGCGATTGATACACAACTGCTATCTCTGTGAGTCTCTTCAGCCACCAACATTCGGCCGCAAAGACTCCAGATCCTCCGATGCCCGACCGACTCCTCTCCTCTCCCCCCTCTTCAGTGCGGCCTCGACCATAAGGTTAGCTAGACTTTCATTGCCTTCAGTCTGCTCAGCTATCAGCATGCGACCGCCAACACCACCGACCACCTTCGCTCTATATCTCGCCTGTCCTCCGTGTGGTTTCGAACACAAGGGTAGCTAGACTCTTGTTGCTTCCAGTCTCCTCAGCCATCGATGTACGACCATCAATACGACAGATCCCTCCCTCTCCTTGTCCTCTCAGACGTTTCGGGAACAATTTCCACTAATATGAGCAATATGAGTAATATGAGTAATATGAGTAATATGAGTAATATGAGTAATATGAGTAATATGAGTAATATGAGTAATATGAGTAATAGGAGCAATAGGAGCAATAGGAGTAATAACGTAAACCACAATCGCGCGGCCCATCCAACAATGCCATATAAAAGCTACTTATTTGATCTTCAATATCTCAACTATTTTAAGAATATATAACTTCATACTAACTGATTATATTATGATAACAAAGAATTTATTTTTAGTATCATTTTCAGATTTTAATAACTGCATATAACGGCTCGTAATATAAAATACCTGTAATTTACTTGTATTTTAGGATAGTTCCTAAATTGAATATAAATACAATCTTGAAAATTTTTTGAATACTTGCACTATACTGATCCGAGTTGTTAATTTTAATTTATTGTTATATGCTCATATAAAGTATAATAATTGAGGTATCATAGTTATTGAAAAGCCCCGGGGAGCCCCTCCAACCCCCCCCCAAAAAAAAACGCCTTCGAATCTAGAATTTAGATATTTAAGACTGTATGCCTTCGCAAAGTGTCCTATGCTATTGAGATCTTGAAGAACATCATCCGTCTTCAAAGGGGAAATCCAAGCAGATCAATCGCGGCTTTGGACTTGATCATGGTCCGGCTTCAGCTGCTTCGGTGGCCTCACTTCTGAAACAGGCGGGTCCGATATGGTAGTGAGAGCAGTACAACCTGCTCGCTGAATTACCAGGTTGAACCCCGACGTGATTGCGCCGGCCTCCTTCTGATCCTCCTGGACCTGACTTGGCATGGGCTGAACATCATCGGCAAGGTCGGGGCACTGTACAGTCGTTGCCTCGGAGGTTGCCTCAGAAGGTGCGTTAGAAGTCAAAGAAAGCTTCCTCTTGCGGCCAATCTGGTAAGGTAGTATCACATCAGCGGTAAATTTGCACCGGCCAGTTACTTTGAACTGGGCAAAATCACTATTCACGCCTGCGGGTTCAGGGTCTCCATGATCGTAAAAGCTCTGATTTAGCCAATCTTGGATCTTATCATAATCACAGTCCTGCGTTTCCGGGACTTCCAACGCTTGTTCCCTCTCACTGCGTTCATGTTTGTCATGAGGGTCTATGCGAGCATGTTGTGGAGGCTGACGTTCCTGTGTTCTCTTGCTTGGCTGGAGGCCCTTCGTCTCGTCAACTTCGGACACTGATGCACGGATTGTGACTACGGTGATTGACCAGCCACATCGTTGTTCTTAGTCACTCTCTGAGGTGATGAGATTCAAAACCATGAGAATATATAGTGGACTGCACTCTGGATCAATGCGGTAATCTCTATATAGCATAGGATGTCTTGTGCCGCTGATCAGAGGTGTTAAGATTATCTGACAGACTTCAGTGTGGTATGCGGGCCCCGATCTTCTTATATGGGAAGGTCTCAGGAACTTCACTGTTTGGCCGTTTTCACCTCGCTTTCCTACTTTGGGACAAGACCGTCATATTTCTGGCCGGTAACTTCCTTCCAGCGCTTTGACCATCCGGGAGAACTCTCAATGCAGTAGGTTCCCAATCTAGAACCAAGGGTACTGTCAAGTATATTATCAATTCAATTTCCAATCTAATCCTCTTTGATGATATATGTGTTGGTTGCTTGAGATGTGCATCCTATTGCAAAAGTACGAGCGATGATGGCTCCTGGAAAATGACGGGTCACACTGTCCATCTCGACCTCTGGCATTCTACGCGCCACTAATGGAGATTAGAGCTGGTCCCCAAAGCACAATAAAGCTCTTGTAAAGTAAGCACTTCGTCTGAGCCCTTGACTGTTCAACAGGGCCCTTTCGCAGTGGACTTTCATCATCAGCGACTACAACTACGTAGCATCTCAGTCACCGAAGACTTCACAGACAGAGCTAGAATACTGCACAATGGTTTGATCAAGACAGTAACAGACTCCCTGATCAAGGTCGCTTTCTCTGAGGTTCAACGTTAGAGATGCCTCAATTGATCAGACTCGCGTCTAATCACCCCTGCAGCCATGGATAAGGATTGACTTACTTCACCACACACAGAGTCGGTTGAATAGATGTGGACGATACTGAGAGTGCAGCTGTGGATGTTGCTCCCATTGTACCGGGACGTACGGATAAACTTACTTGAGCTAAGCTTGTAATTCGCGCTCGAAAGGGCGTACTGGTGCGGGGCGTCTGCCGTGAAGTAATCTCAATAGATGACCGGGAGGTACTTAAGCTGGTGGTGCTGGATCCTGGTCCCCTTCCATTCACGTTTGATGACCGCAGCTGGTCGGAGTACTGCGTCGTTGCCACGCCAGTTGACGGCAGTTTGAAGGAGAAATCAAGATACTCGCAATATAAGGCAGAAGGACCCTTGCCTACGCAGATGAATCAATATTTGTTGCATAAACAGAACTATTGACTCACAGGGTTCCAAGACGTCATCCAAGAACGTGACACAATCGCCTGTAGTCTCCATAGACCAGCTGTAGGTCATGTTTGTTCCATTTCTTGTGAAGGAGACAGTAAGTGAAGTATACTCTGTAACACTCTTCACAACACCACAGACACCCTCCGTCACCGAAGACTCAGTATCACGTTCATATCTCGAGATGTGTGTTCCGAGCGCAGCATTGCTCAGTACGGCAGCTGCGTAAGCGGCAGTCAATAGCATTGTGCACCAAGCCTCAAAGATAAAATGAAAACAAGAGTTTTACTCAGAGTAACTAGAGTCCTATCTCCGAAGGTGATTCCCTGCCACTATAAATGGGATCATAGAGAGACATATGATCTTGTGCCAGGTCTTTTTTAAAGGTCCGACTATTGCGCATGCACGTATAGAGTGGCCGGCCCTGCGATTTCGATCCGATTTAGCGTTTGACAGGACAGCCAATCATACCTATCGCTTACTCTTCCTGCTTATTTTCTCAAAACCTAACACATCTGTACTAATCTGTACTAATCTGTATCTGGTTAGATTGTATACGAATAGTCTTGGCAGGTACTGATCTGTCTAGTTTCATCAGTATTACACCCAAACCGACAAGTGGTGTAAAGCCCGATAGCAATATAGTATGTCTGAAGAGAAACTTGAAGAGCAACAGTGAGATGCCCCTGTTGGAGCGTTGTCTGCACACGGAAGCTTCTATATTCCGGTATTCCTTCTACCTGTACTACTGTAAGGTTAAGAAGTGAAGTATTGAATTTACACAACATATCCATCGGTGCCAGGAAGACCAATATACCTGCCTAACCGTATGCAGACTAGTGTACCAAGTCTAGGGATTGGGAAAGAATTTGGAGACTCTAGGGTAGGCATGGTGATGTGCAAGATACTGTACGAGTTCCTCCCATTACTGTCTTACAGAATGATAATGGGGGCACCAATCCTTACAGTACCTTAGTCCGGTCCGTAGTGAAATTTCGCGGCGGCTCAGTACACTAGTTTGCAAGGATGGCGCAAACAGTACACTCTTCTTTTTGTTTCAAAGGCCCTAATCAAGCTTACGCTAAGCCCTCTTGGGATAAATCTTCCGGACCTTTGTTACCGGCTGGTGTATGAAAAGGTAATAATGCATAGACTAACTCAGCGCGGATGTCGTCCCTCGTATCATCTCATACTAGGCAATTTGTTGCTCCGTGGGCATTTCGTCCCACCGGGAGGATCACGTTGATCAGATTTCAAACCGAAGATACTGTAAACAACGCATATCTTTGCTTCTTCCGCGATAGCCATGAATATGCCGCGAACTAGATAATTGATGTAAGGGGGGCTAGAAAGCGTCTTTAGGCGGGCGATTTTCAAGGATGCTGGCAGAAAGCTTCTTAAGTCGGAACTGTGCGGCAACTTCCAGCAATTGGAAGTCACTCGATATGCCTTGTTTCCAGACGAATGTCGCTCCAAGGGTTGAGGATATACAGTGATTCTCGAACACGGCTACAGTGTAGCAGATGTTGAATCCAAAGAATATGTTACTGTAGTATTATTAGTGAAGAGTTGAGCAAAGACTCATGGAGGACTGTGTTCAACTGGTCTTGCCCGACTACTGTACTGTCCCATCCTCTGTCCAGATTGCCGCAGTCTTGTTCATGCTGTTCCCTCAGATTACTGCTGCTCGCCCAAAGTGACCAGTATCATAGAAGTTCAATCGAACGCCAGTGTCGAATCTAGCCAGCCTAGTATTTGCCATTAACCCATGCTGAGGCTTTGACTCACCTGGCTTGCATTATCATCGACACTCCTTTGAGTAAGCTTGTGAAGGGACAAACTGGAGAGTGATTAAGCACAAATGAATAATATGAGAAGCTCGCTCCGGTAGAATATAATTATGGAATTTTTTGCTGAGGAATGCACCAGGAAATACTTTTTACAATCTCTGACCGTAGTGCTTGTTCGACCATAAGAGCCTTCGGCGAATCACTAGTCGAAGAAGATTCTCAATGCTCTAGGCAGACGTGCTGGTACACAGCGCATGGTTAGGTATTTAGAGGCTCAGCAACTTGGCGCCGAACATTCTCCGGATCCAGGGCCCACGCTCCTAGATCCGAGATGTCTCCAGAACTATTGCCTAAGGCCATTATGACCAGGCTACGCCGCCCGAGCCCTACCGCTCGACTCCACGAGCCCCGGTTGCTGTTCTGCCGTTCTTTGTTCCTGTTGAAAATAAGTAGTCTTTTGGATAACCGAATAGAGCCTTTTCCTAAATTTTTATAACCAGTATAGAAGCCATCGCTTGTGGCCCTGCTACCCTTGGCTGGGAGGGTCTACTACCATGAAGGCGGCCTAATGGGTATGCACCCGTGCTGCGTGCTCACCCTTGGTGTATAGAATAGGTGAATCGTGAACTGGCATCCCGTGCGCCGGCGTTTGAGACCGACACTAGTGAGGTACTTCATCTCTGACCTCCACTCATTGGTGCCGTGTTATCCGAAGCCGAGA